GGGACAAAATTATCTTTTCTGAAGGCAGAACATATCCTGAAGCAGCTTCGTAAGTGCAGTGTTATCACCCAGGAAGAAAAGATAAAGACTGAGCTGGAAATATCCTCTGGGTATACAGGTATTTTAGTCAACAGATAAACAGCTGTAAACATAAAACAGAATTCCAAATTTGCAGCCATTAGTGTGTTACATCAGCTGCTACTCAGTTTTCTGATGATCTGATAATTTCCTCTATTTCCTTAAACTGTCATCCTCATTAAAAAATAACTGAAACACTTATGCTTAAGTACGGTACTTTATGTTTTAAGATTGGCCACAAGATGGCGATAGATTTCTGCAGATTTGCACAAAACTACCTTTTAGGATGTTTTTGGAAAGGGGAATTTTTGCTGACCACTTGTAAACAACAGCCTTTCAAACCAGAATTTCCCCTATGACTGTCCAGTCCGCTCGGCAGTAAGCAGGGGTGTTTTGTAATGGTGTTTATAGACATGGAATGTAGGACTGCTGCATGGCAACCCAGTTAATCATTAATGAAGCACAGGCACAGATGGGAAAGAAGCACATATTTTTAAGCATTTCTCTAGGCTGTGGACTGCAGGCCCCAGCCTAGAGAAACTAGCTCCATTATTTTTTCTCTTTTTGTTTAGTTTGGCTTCCTCCTTGGCTCATAGAGATAGTGTAAAGCTTGTAGTTACTCTATTAAATGTCACTTTCTTTGTTTGTTTCCTCTAAACAGGCTAGCATTTTAATATAACTGATATGTTTACATAACTTTAGAAAATACATTACCACCATATGGTTGTATTGACAACAGAAGTCCCAAGGGCACTACTGCATGCTCAGGATAAGATTAAAGAATTAAAGGATCACGGTGACGACACCTTCCACAGATATCAAGTCCTCTATGCACTGTTACGGGAACTTCGTGGCCTGGCAACATAAAAAATAGCAGGCACTTGCACAGTTTAAATCATGGGGTGAAATTAGAAGCACAACTAGGAGAGAAAATATAGTGTTGCCTGGATTAAGGCCAACATACAAATGCCTTTGTATTTATTTTGATCCTGTTGCATGCTTTTCAATGCATGCATCTTAAGTCACTTATAACTGAGAGCACTGAGGCAAGGTGATGTAGACTCAGAGGAATTTGTAAATGATCCAGTCTTGTTCTGTTTCAGAGAGCCAGAGTTTGTTGACATGATGTGTGTAACTGAAAAAATGTGCAGACTCTGGCTGGTGTGTAAGCTTACTAAATCTCTTTTGTTAGGTGATGAGTAAGATTTTGGCATGCCTCTAAAGCTCTATCAGTCACCACTGTTGTGATGGAGGGGAATGTTCCCACCAAAGCCTGGAACAATAAGCTCAGCTCTAGCTATGGATCCTGGTCCAAATATTTAGGTCCATTTTTGATTAACACTCAAGGTGTGCACTAACAATATAATCAGTAGATGGGATATTTTTGTGCCAAACCTTTATTGGTGAAGTTTCAAATTTGCTGTGCTGTTCTTATATTCGCAAGGCATAGCCAAATAAGATGACATGTTTTTTTTCTCGTTCTTTATCTTCAGTTTCGCAAATCTAGAGATTTTGAAACACTTTATTACATTAAACATTTGGAAATAGTATTTCCAAACTTATCTCTAGTTAGCTAATGAATTCATATTTTATGAGTCATACATATTCCCTCCAACCTTAATTGACAACTTGTGTTTATGGTCCGTATTCACTGACATTTAGTCTCTGTTTACCAGCTTTGTGCAAAAAGTCTGAACTGTAACACTTTGCAGCTGTAGTTATTAAATTGTCTTAGGCTATTGATTGTATAGTTTTTGCAGTGTAAGTATTATAGGTCAGATATCAGTAGTATTCTCTTGCTTGGAATGAAGTTCTTTTTTTTTCTTATCAAAAAGAACCCCTTTCTCTCAGTTTACTTTTGTTCAATTAGCTTGCTGAAATAAACCAATCTTTACTGGTTTATCTGATTTGTTGTAGGCCATGGTTGCCGATCAACACCCAAGAGAAAACGGGAATTTGTTTCTCTGTGATGCTGAGTCTAAATGCTATTAGTTTGAAGCACCATACCAGTATGCTGGATCAGATAGCTGTTTTTTAGTCTCTCTGTTTTTACTTTGGTTTGCCCTTACTGTATCATTTTCCAAATGAAAGCCCAACAACCTTGCGTCAGTCATGTACTGGAAACGTTTACAATAGTGAACTGTGAGGCTTGCTTGGCAACACATCTACAGATCCCTAATTATATTAATTTTCCTGCCCTGTGGGCTTTTGGTATATTTCAGTGGGATGTGACATATTATCGTTCTGCCAGTGGGATGTGACATATTATCGTTCTGCCAGGATGTGCGTAAGGAGGTAGAGTGAATTAAAAGGATAGAGAGGCATTGTATCTGTCTGTCTGTCCATGCAGGCAAAGCGGTGGGGCTTGAGCCATGCTGGAATGTAGTGATGGGTTCAGCCGTAACTGCTGCCCTAAAAGGGTCTAATGTGCCTGGATATATGGGTGGGGCACTTCTTCTATCCATCAAAGTCTGTTACCATAACCTTAGATCCATGGGAAAATTCAAAGAAATGAGCATTCACGCTGTTTTTGTAACCTGTGCTGCTGGTACATAGCCAGTAAGCCATAAATACCAAAATCCAAGCAGTGCAACGATGGGAACATAACACTGTTAGGCTTGGACTTTTGGTTCCCATATACTCTGCTCCTAGTAAAACAGGAAAAATACATTTTGATATTATGATAAACTGTGTGGCTTTAAATCAAATGAAATTCTTTTAAAGGCTGATATTGTGTTCATATCTAGAGATTGTATAGAAGTGAGTATTTGACCTCTTATAAAGGCCAGGCCCTTGACTGGAGAGCTGAATTAAATTTAGAGTCCCTTAGTGGTTTAAAGCTGTTGGCACAGTAGCCTGATGGATCCAGTGTCCTCGAAGTGGGTAATGCTGCCATCATATCATGCTCTCTCCTTCCTCTCCAACTCCCTAGTTCTGTATCAGTCAGAGCAACTCAGTATGACAGGAAATGACACACAGTTGTGGTCAGAAGTTTACATACACTCCTCATGAATGACATGGTTTTTGGGTCTTTTAATCATTTTTGAACAGTTCTTTTTACAGGGTGGAATGACACAACTTTAAAAACAAGAAATGGGTACACAAGTTTGAATGTATTCATCCGCACATTGTCAAAAGTATACATTCAGGATTAAATCTATACATACACCCCCCACTATGTGGCGATCATAGCTTAAGAGTTGTCAGTTTGTCTTGTAATCAGAAGGTTGCTGGTTCGAGCCCCGGCTCGGACAGTCTTGGTTACTGTGTCCTTGGGCAAGACACTTCACCTGTTGCCTACTGGTGGTGGTCAGAGGGCCCGGTGGTGCCAGTGTCCAGCAGCCTCGCCTCTGTTAGTGTGCCCCAGGGCGGCTGTGGCTACAATTTCACCTTGACTGGACACTTTTGGTACCCAACAGGTTGACGTCAGGTTTTTGGGAAATATGAACCCCTATGAGCAAGCACTTTGGCAACAGTGGGAAGGAAAAACTCCATTTTAACAGGAAGAAACCTCTGGCAGAATGAGGCTCAGGGAGGGGTGGCCATCTGCCGCTACTGGTTGGGGCGAGAGAAGGAACAGCCTGTATTTGAGCCTGTATGTATGCTTTTGACTCTGTGTAAATTAGAAAAAATCAAAAATTATTTCAGACTTGTGCATCCGATTCTTGTTTTTTGTAAATCATTGAAAGATGTATGCTGTGCAATTATTCCATCCTGAAAACTCCAAAATTACGATGAAATCCATGCCAATGGTGAGTGTATATAACCTCTGACCACATGTCAATAAAAAAACAAACAAACATGCAAAATAAAAAAGCACACAATAACAAATGGGTTACAAATTGGTATATAACATTGTCAATGGTATATATGCACATTAAACCTGTGAGAACCTTCACAGACATATTAAACCTCCAAGCTACCCTGTTCTGTCAGTACTGAAAGTGTAGTTTCCACTGAGGCTATAAGAATCTCCACTTATTTAGACATCCTTAAAATGAGAGTTTAATTAGCATTGCTACCAACAGTGTCGCATTTGACTTATGAATAGATGCAACAAAAAGAGTCGGAAAGGCACATTTCCCTATTATTGTCTGCACTGCACCAAGCCTCAACTGGAACCATCAGCCAAAACTCTTTGTTCTCTCTGCAAGGCCTCAACCGGGCTAGACAACCTGTAGGTACTTTAGTCTTATTAAACAGGCTCATAGTATTAAAGTAAAATGTTTGTGGTTATGTACTAGACACTACTTTTCTGGCAGTTTAATAATTGCACTATTACTAATAGTCTTTGCTTTGATGATCTTCTAGATGGAAATCAAAGTACAATGCCAGACACAGAATATACAGACACAAAGATGCAATGGCTTCAGTGTACTCCTATCACCTGCACAGTTCTAAACCAGGATGATCATTGTTCCATAATGGAAAGACATACCACAGATTTCTTGTGGATATAATTCAACATCCTAATTATATCCTAACATAGTTGGTTTATGGTATGGGCAATCAAAATGACCAAGGACTGCATGCATATGAAACTTAGACTCAGGAGAACATTGAGTAACTTCCTGTCAATCTGAGTATTTGCATGTCTTTCTCTGTAGAATCTATAAGAGACAGAACAAACCAAGGAAAGCTTTAAGCCAGTGTCAGAAGTCCCTGCAACTGCTGATGGACTGTAGTAATCCAGAGAGGACTTGCTCTGTCTATAGACCAAGGCCACAGAGCATCTTTCCAAGGCAAGCAGATTCAAGTTAACACAACTTGCACATTATATACAATTCTTCTGCACAACATATACAAACACAACGGCTTCCTGAGATAGTGATGTTATTTGCCAGTCTTCCTTCAGCTCTTACTTGGTAGTACGCGATTTCTCATTTTTTCATGTGCATGTTTCCGTTGGGCTCATGCCATAGCTGTGAGTCATGGCCTAGAGGAGCTGGAGGGGGCTCAGATCTCCCACAGCCTGGCCCTCATCCTTCCTGTTGCAGCAGAACCCCATCACAATGGTAAGTCTATTCACAGATACAGGCTGGGCCAGAGAAGTTAATTGGGACTTATATATTCCACTGTCTATATGTCAAATGGTGTAATACAGAATCCAGCTTTATGGTAGCCTTTTTGAAGACCTCAGTATCACCAATGTCAACAATGGACAATCTATTCTCTACTGTAGCCATATAAAGCATAACATCTGGAAACTGTAAAGAGAATACAAGGATTTCTTAGTTACAACCCCAAACAACTGATCTCACTATTAAGGTGCTCATATTGAAGGTATTAGCTAGTGCTACCACGTTTTCAGAATCAGTTATTGTCAAATGTGTGTGTTTTATGTGTGTTTTCCCCTTTGCTGTTTTAGATTCTGCAAGTCACTACTTTGATCAAACTTTAAAAGCATAGAAGAACTCTGCAGGTCCACAGGATCCCGCTTTTCTTGTTGCCCAGGATGACTTCTGTCACTTTCTCCTTAAGAATAGACAAAAACAGGTTACGTCCACTCACAAACTACGATCTCTATAAGACAGCCAGATTTCCATAAGATTATTTTCAGGCACAGAACGTCATACAAAAGTTTAAAAGGATGAATTCCCTTAAAGTTTCATTATTATTATTTTTTTCATATTTTTATTGAGAGACAAGTGTACATTAGTTTACAATGACAATACAATCTGTTCCCCTCACATATTTTTTAGTTTTTCTTACGAAAGTTTCATTATTTACTTGCTTTATCTGGAGAAAAAGTAGGAAATAAGAAGTTATTTACCTGTTGTACCACTGTAGAAATGTGCAGAGATCCAGAGAACCTCTCTTGATTTTAAAAGATTTGCATGGCCTGGGTGCTGAAGTAGCCGATACCCTTCAGCTGATTGGATGAGTGGAGATGACCAAGGGCAGAATAAGCTAGGCTAACAATAATCATGTGTTACAGAGCACATATTTGTCTTGGTTAACACCTGTGTAGGTGTAATGCCTGACAGAGGACTACTTACTGTCATTGAACATGACATCATAGAATTTTAATAAAAGGTCAGTAGTTGTCGTCAACTCTGACAGTAAGAAGGCGAGAGGTCATTTCAGAATATCTAGTCATTTTGAGTTGAGCTATTTCCACCATCCCTCTAGAGCTCAACGTTATCAGAGTTGCATGCTAATCTTGGAAGGGTGCAGTGTGCAGATCCCCTCTCTCTGGTGTAAAATATCCTGAAGAGTGACTTTGTGCTTCTTTGGTTTGCATGGAGTCTGACAGATGGGCAACACTTTTGGGAAGGAAATTACAGTTTGCTAACTGTTTTCAATTAATAGGAGGCTGACCCCAATTACTGCGGTATGTCTTTATGTCCTTTGAAACAAAAGTGGCATTTCTGTGTCAATCACCACACAAGCACTGAATAAACAGCAGCTCTTTAGTTCATTTAATTCAAATTCTCTTTTCATAGCTCTTACAGGTTTTCTTTATTCCTTATGTAATGAGGGGTTTTTTTTTAAACATGCTGTATATTATTTGCCACATGAGCTCAGTTCTACCAGCAACAGAACACTGGTACTAAAATATACCAGGAAAGGGGGGATTGCTCCACACTAGTAATGACATGCCTCTACGTGAAGGAGCCTGGTTGCTATGTTGCTGTGTTATTGCTGTTAAAGTGCAGAGTCGGGGTCCAAGTATGACATGGAACACCAGGGCTCACTCTTCTCTGTTCGCCGTTCAAGTGGTAAACTTTCTGACAGAGAGCAGATATGCACGGAGTGTTTATTTTTCACTGCTTTCCTCATGACATCATTCAAAATGAGTAACTTTTTCTTTTCCGAAGTTAAGCCAGCTTGTGTAGCAGATACAATGCATAAGAAGTTTTGAAAACAAAGAGAACAATAGCCCACATACAGCAACGCTTTTGACATTTTCCCCCTTCCTCTGAAGTGCAGCTGAAAAAAAAGGCCTTCCATTACATCAACCTTAGCAACAGTGAAAACATTCTGGAGGCCAAATGGATCTGTTCCAGATTAGCAGTGTTTCACTTTCCCTGGTGAGGAGGGTAAGTTTTCACTCTTCTTTCCCCTGCTTTAATAAAGCCCTCGTCAACTGTTATTTATGGCGATTCTAGAAATGGCTGACAGCCATTCATCATGTCTGCTGTGTCACATTGTGTGGGCACATTGTGTAATCATATACGTGTTTCCTGATGAAGGTTTTGATTTGTTTTTTTTGGGTGGGGGACTTACATAACCGTTTCTTATGAAGTTGCTTATTTCTCTCTCATAATTATACTATATAGAGAACAACAAGTGGCTCATACAGAGTCTTTATTTTACAGCAGATTGCTGATGGGTCTTCATAATAAATCAAATCCTGCTTGTTGATCTGACACTCTGGGCAGTTGGCACAGGTGTTATCTAAACCTTGGACAGCTACAGTGGTTATTTTGGTATGTTTAGTGCGTTCACATGTTGCTAGGAAGTGGCGCTTCCCCTCCGAGTTTGAGTTTCAACACTTATCTTCCATTGACCACTCTCTCAGCTATCTTTTTTCCCGTGTGTAGTGCCTGAAATCCAGAGATCCTTGTATGGGCGTCAGCACAAGAAGACCAAAGCAGTAAAAAAAAAAGCTTTGGACATGCTGACTAGGTAAATTTGTGAAATAATGACAGTGTTCTTATGTTAAGAAATCTGACAAGCCTCACCAGTCAACACTTACCATTTATTTCTTTTTGATAATATGATTACATTAGGGTAAACCTAACAGACACTTATAAGAATGCAGCTCATGTTTTAGTAAAGCAACTGTGTCCTCTATGTTTCTCAGGGCACCAGAGGTGGCTGAGAAGAAAGGTAAAAGGAAAACGACCTCTAATCCTTCCACTTGTACCATCCAGTGGTAATAATTAAAACTTCATAACTGAACACACTTGTCTTGTTTGTTTTCAGTGTGGTTTAAAGTTTAAAGTTACTTGCTTTTTTGTCAAATTGCACTTTAGGTGAAGAAAGTAAAGTCTAAATAAATACTCAAACAAAACATACCCATAATATTTTTTAATGATGTTATAATATTGGGGCAGTTTTCATCTAAGGACTGGAATTAATACCAATATAAGCAATGGTCTCAAAAGAATTCAGAATAAATCAAGGATTTCAGTCTCTCCATTTGACCTTTATTAAACACTGTATTAGTCACTCATTCACTAATGAAGATAATAACCGCATAAAGATTAATAACAAACACTTTAGGTGCACTGATATAGTAGTGTTTGAGTTTAAAGAGTAAATAACAACAAATCCATGAAATGAAGGGTTCTTTTTGTAGATTGCTAATGACTTCTAATTTATTTTATTTGTATAAGTATGGCATTCATGCCAGATGTTGTATTTTTGGATTGGTTTACCCTCACACCAGAAAGTTGACTTGAAAAGACTTTTCAGTAGTTAGAAGTAAATTATACAGCCGCTGTTAGAGAAAATAAGCAAAAAAATAACCAGACGGTACACATGCTATTTCATTTCTGCCTCTGTAACACATACACAACACAACAAACTCTAGTCAACACTCAATGCTAAGCTGATGATCCAAAAATAGGTGCGGTTATAAACACACTCGTAGGTCAGAGCAAAGTTGAATCCTTCAAGCCAACACTGAAAGCCAACAGCTGTGGACAAGCCATAAGTGCTATACATGACAAAGATCAAACCTATGTGTGATTACGTTTTCATCACTGCAACATCCTTTTAATGCAAAACACCTCTGCTGCTACTTTAATCGTTTTATCAGGATATTGTTTTCAACCTGACAGCCATGTTTGGAATTCTAAATGGGACCATTTAGAATTCCAAATGCAGTGTTACCCCCAATTATATGCTCAAAACAAAATCTTAACTGTTTGCAATTTACAAATGTTTGGCACATGTTAAAATAGACTTTTTGTTTTATTTTTTAAAAACATGCTTCTCTCTTGGGAGAACACATTTGCACCTATGGGCAATTTAGAATCATCAGTTAACCTAACCAACTCCACATAGACAGTCCCCAGCCAGATGGTTGAGTTGAAATCTGGACCTTCTTGCTGTGAGGCAACAGTGCTAACCACTGCGCCGTCCCTAGAAACCCCAAGAAATCACTTTTAAGCTTCACAAGAGCTTTGTTAAGACAAATTCTAAAGGAAATAGATCTTTTTTTTTAAACTCTCATGATATTATCCTCAGTCACAAGGTCAACAGTCTTGAACACATGTTAGCAATGACTTGTTAATATAAACCACTGTGTTCCAGCATGTGCTGTGTACTAACATCATTCCATTTTGTAGAGGTGCTCAAAACATAAAAAATTAAAGCCTCATTCTGCAAACAGTGCACAGCACCTTGTAACCCGGAGAGCAATAAATGCTGACCAAGGAGACTTAACATCATGGCAAGTACAGCCACGACATGATGGCTGGGTGGATTATATGCTGTAAACTGTAGAATGAGCTGTTTAAGCTGTTAAGTGTAGGTTAGTACAAAATGAAGCACTATAAAGAGAATAATCAAGGATATCCAAACTGCACCTTATGAAAAGCCAAACATACTAGTACAGCACACAGCATTGCCTACCATTAAATATGGCTACAATATGTAGAGGTTTCAATCCTTACACAATCTAGCCCACAGTAGTTAGTATGGAGTATTTCAGTAATGGGATCTCTGCAGTCAATAGCAAAAAGAAAAATATATGGAAATCAGATACTTTTAACTAAATAGCTAGTACTCTGTTTTAGGTAATCTAGTCTTATGGATTATACGTACGCTTGTTTACTTGAAAAATAGCATGAATACAGTTCCTGTAATCACCATTAGTATACGCTTTGTATGTTTAAGTAAACATACTGTAATGCACTGGCAATTATTCAATTTGAAAAAAATAATCAGATTTAGTTCTTAGTCATTAGAAGGGCTTTCAAGGTAAACTGTTGCGATTCTTTTCTCCTGTGAAATCTTCACCGGCATCTCCAGGACTGGAGGCTGCAGCTCTTGCTCTGAGGCAGCCTCGTCATGGCCACCGTGTACATCCATCTGGAAGGAAAATGACTTGTCTGATGGCCCCAGTTTAAAATGTTTCTCACCGATTTCAGATGCAGATTCTCCTTTGTCGCTGAAGTTGCCATACTCCACGCTATCAGCAACATTATCTTCCCTGGAAACTCTAATGCTGTATCCTCCTCCCGCCCCACTCTGGAAGGCTTTCTCGATCCCCATGTTAGATGACTTGAGCGCTGCCATGATCTGATCTTCAGATAGGTCATCTCCTTCCAGCAGCCCAGATTCTTCCAGGGTTTGAGAAACATTTAGCTCTGCAACTATAGTCATGGTTCCATTGTCAGTGGACTGTTTCACTCTTTTGACATCGACGGCTACATTCTCTGGACTTTCACTACTCACTCTGGTGAGGAAAGCTAACTCCTCTTTCAGTGGTCCCGACACTGAACTTTGTAGCTTCTCAAGAGCTCCTTTCAGCTGCTCTTTGGGCTCCAAAGAGTCTTCTCTCAGGTACTCAAGCACTGACTCTTGCACTATAGGTGAGACCCGAACCTCTTCTTCTATTATGCACTCTGGAAAACTCTCTTTGGCAAACAACCGGTCACCTGACATAAACTCATATTCATCACTTTCTTTTACAGTCACTTTTTTCTGGGGAAGACCATCATCTTGATAATACCTCTCATCCGACAGGTCATCTACAATTCCATAATGGCCATATGAGGTTATCCCGCCACCCTCCTCAGATTCAGAAAGATTTTCATCTGGTGTAGAGACAAAATACTCATGAGACTCTTGATCATGGGAGAAATGTGGAAATTCACTCTCTCTAGAGACCTCTTGGACTTGTACAGATCCAAACTTTGACTCATCTGTGTTGGATTTCATGACATTATCATCTCCCCTGCTATCTTGAAAGCCATGAGGGATATTTTCTGGCTCCTCAACTTGGAAATATGCAGAAGGCTCATGAAAAGTGAACCCGGACTTCTGCTCAGCCTCAAGTTCTTCATCACTGTAAGACTCCACTGGTTCCTCGATTATTTCCACATTGAATGACTTATTTTGTAAGTCCTCTCCTCCTTGCAAGCCACTCAGCAGGTTCTTGACCATGCTTCCTGTTGCTGTGTCCTTGATGTCCTCTAGTGACACTTTCTTCACACCTTGTTTCAACAGTTCTTCCAGGGCATTGTCCTGAGAAACATCCAGCTCTTCCTCCACTTTGGACTCCAGCACGATTTGTGTTTTAGTCGTGCCATCCTCCTGCTCAGTTTTCTCCACGTGATATCTGACTTTTGAATCTCCTGCTGAACAGTCCTTGCCTTCCAAACCTGCTGGTTTTATCACTTTCTCAATTATTTCTTCTACAGACACAGAGTCTAATATCTTTTTCTCAGCTGGGCCTATTGTAAACTCTGTTCTTCCTTTGTCTTTGACCTCGCCCTCGACAACGGGGCCTTTTTCTTTTTCATCTGACACATACTTCTTGCTTTCTGTCTCGGTTTCCGTAACCTTCATTGATGGTGACACCACTCTTACAGATTTGGTATCAGGAGTAGAAGACTTGTCAGGACTCATCTGGCCCTCTGTGTGTGGGAGCCAGATGAGTTTCACAGTTTGCTCTTCAGCTGTTCTTTTTGGTACACTCCGACTGACTTGGTTTTCACTATGGCCTGCTTGCTTATCTTTGGTTGTAGTACTGGTGGTGGTAATGGTAGTAGCAGAAGCAGCTGCCCGAGCTTTGTTAAATGAGATCATATCCCTTCTGGATGCCGGACTCTGATGGCGAGCTCTTCCTGTAACTGAAATAGGGATGACCCTAGACGGACTTATGGACCCAGAGGAAGGGATAGGGGCTCTTCTCAAGCTTGAAGTCGATGGCATGTACCTTATATCCATGTGCTGTTTAGTGGTTAAGGTGGAAGCTCTTGGAGTATAGCGTTGGGCAGGCATTTTGATATCTGAGTCAAAAGTAATTAGTAAAGAATTAGTAATAATTATCTGATGAATTGACATTTTGTTTTCAGTTTTGCTTAATAAATGTGTATATGATTTATCCAAGTAGAAACCAGTCTTGCAGTGTTTTCCCATCATTATCACATCAATAAAAATAACTGAGAAACATACCTATTATTCTTTCTCTTTGATGTTGATTCCCTCGCTTATGAGCATCTTGCAGACTGATTCGCTCACCCTCCAGAAGAGCCCTAAACAAAGACAAGGCAAATTATATATGAAGACAGGGGCAAAAAGGTCCTAACTCAAGTTAATTTCTCAAATATTTTCAAAACATCAAAGACAAGTACCTCACGAGATCGTGTACATCCTTCAGCTCTGCCATTTCAACCCTCTCAAACTAAACACAACTGGCTTACGAGAAGGCATGAATCCTGTACCTGACCATATAGGGTAGTAGTCTTAAAAATTCAAATAAGCCACCATCAGTTAATATAGATGCATTACTAGTATTTGAAACAGCTCACCTTTCCTTGGCCATGCTTCAACAGACATACAATAGCAAATGAAACGAGCAACTTCTCTGGAGAGTGCCTTCCGAAAGACTGACCTAAAAATAACGCCCACAAAGCATGGCTGTCTATGCTTCCCTGTGAATCCCAGAGCAAAAACGGACACGTGACACATACAAAAACAAATGCCGCTGCCACGTCTCTAATAAGGTATTCTGTCTATTCCAAAAGTTCAAAACAAACCAGATGTCCCAGTGGAGAGCCTGCCATATAGAGACAAGCTAAAGCTAAAATGCTAATATCTATCACCATCTTTGATATAAGTCTGTTTAAATGTAGGTCAATATGAGGCAAGAGGTTATAATATGTCAAGGGTACATTGATATAACAATCCAGTACAGTGTTTACCCACTGTTTTATAAAGAGCTTTGAGATACAGTTAAAATATCTTAGCATCTCCCTGTGTCATGAACATGAAGCCAAGACACTGAGTGCTATAACAAGACAAGTTATTGCTTATAAAATCAGTCCTCCTTCACACAATATGTTATAACAGCTTTACTTAAGAATCATCTATAGTATGTGTAGTATTTATGTAACCTTGTCAGACACTAATTTTCAGTTAAGCAGTTTTTTTTTAAACTGTATAGCAGTCTCCACTGTTGGTGGATGGAGCCACTGCAGGTGGGGTGTGAGTGAACAATGAAAAATATGAAAAAAATATGAATCCAAGCTATATTAGCTTAATATGACTTTTGTTTGAGATCTTAGATTTGAGAAATTAGTGCCAAAACCAGGAATGAGAAAGCAAAGTATGTCTGTATGTATGTAAATTATGAAGTTAATTGAGTTAAGATTAACTTGAAGAGGTATTTGGGCTGGTTTAATCACTAATCTGATTTCAAAACCATAGAAATATCTCAGAATAAAGAAAACTTTGCATTTTAGCCATTGTTTCTACAATTTTTTCTATATTTGTTTCTTCAGAAAATAAAAAAAAATAATGATTCCAAACAAATAACCAGTACTGTCTCTGTTTTCACATGCGCTCATTCCCCAAAGGAGTTCTTCATGAACAACACAAAAATCTTTCAAAATTGTTGTAGCTTACACTTTTTAAAGTAGACTGACTGTTAGCAACACCTTTGCAAAAAGCATCTGACAGCTTTTACTTGTATTAAACGTGGCTCTGAAACATTTAAGACGCCACATGTACTTCTTCTATGGAAGACATTTCCCCTCACAGTAAGGGAAGCAGTGAAGCACATACTCCTATGTGGTTCTAGCACCCAGGTATGGTTCATATCATATAATAAAGGCTTACTGAAGAGTTGCATATACAACAACGCTGACTGCTGATTGTCTCTCATAGTGTTTTTATTCGTGCCATCTGTGCTTTTCATGCTAACACAAGTAAAAATGGCTTCTGGGACAAGACTTATACTTGATGTGACATTATAAAATATCCATTTCATTTATTTCGACAAAAAATGAACAAACTAAATGGTCTCATCACCTGTAAGTAGCAACCTCCATTCCCAGATCCATCTTCACCTGGAGAAGCTGCTGATGCTCTCTCATTTTTTGTGCTATAACGTCAGCCATCACATTCCTCTCATGCTCCAGCTGTTCAATAGTCATCTGATGGTAGGGGGGGAAAAGGCAAAAACAGGAAACAATAATTCATCTCACTGCAGCTTTTAGTGCTCTTAACAGATTTGAAGTTTTTAGGCGTGTCCTCTCACGTAGTGCTTTTGTGTATTGTGCATAAACCCTCTCCAGTACATGTTAACATTTGCCTTCCTTACATACAGATAAACAGAGGAATGTATTTCGTCTGACTTTACTGAAGACAACCCTGCAGTGGGTGGAAAGAGAAGTGGTATGTAACTGACTGGCCCGCTTTAGACTGCATCTTCAGGCTAATAAGGATTTGTCAGTCTGACAGCTAATTGGTTTAAGTGGCTGGTGTAATCTAGCAGTTGGACGGTACTAGGGCGGAAGTATAGCGTTTGTCCAGCTAATGGAGCTATGCTGTCCTGGTATACTGACGTCAAATGTTGTGCACAATCCATATTTTTTAGTTATGGGAACATAAACTTGACAGGCCTTGCTCACTGTTGAATAATGACCCCCTCCTTATTTATTGTGTAGTGTTTTGGTACAGACGCCAGAATGATGCAGCGTATATATAAAAAAAAATGTTTTATATAAATTTCACATTATTAGAAAGATCGAAAACATTTGTAGCAGCCACTGTGAGCTGCAGCTGCATGAGTACCTTTAAGGACAGTGGGTGTGGCAGGGCAACAAGGGACAGCCGCTCCCCCGTCTCCAAAATGAGAGCTTATTTTGCGGGGTTTACTGAAAGTGGTGGGTTTTTCGTTTGTTTGTTTGTTGACAAAACGAATCAAACAATGCCAAATTAAACATTTCGTCTACTGTAGCACAATTAATTCGTCCTTACCTGATACTGACTGTAGTCCACACGGAATTTTTCCTGCATGTGCATCAGTTGCTCCTCAAGTCGCATTTGAATCTGCCCTTGTTTTTCCGCTTCCGTGCGTAATTTGTCCAACTCGGACGCATACAGCATCTTTTCCCTCTGCATGTCGTTCAGCATTGCCTGGTCCGCTTTAATTGACTGCTCCATGTCTTCTACCGTCTTCTGGTACATTTCGAAGGTCTGAATCCATCCTTCGGACATACCGTGGGCATACTCCTGCACCTCTTCCACGGAGACCACCGGAGGCCCACGATAAGTTTGCCTGATGATGGGTGCCACTCGGGACTCCACCTGACGGCAAAGGCGGCTCACCTCTTCCCTGTGTGCATCCTCTAAGCGTTTATACTCGTTCTCTAGTTGCAGCAGCCGCTGCTGGAGTTCGCTGTTGGTTTTGTGAGCGTGATGAAGCTCCTGCTCGCAGTTCTTTAGTTCGCCGCTGACGTCCCGGCACACATCGGTCTGCTCGCTGCACAGACTCTGGATCATCTGCAACTCCCGCCATAGCTTCTCCCTCTCCATCTCAGCCTGGGACTTTTCAAACGACAGCTGCCCCACCATTCTCCGCAGGTCCTGCATCTCAGCCCTGTACTTAGTTTCCCATCCGGTAGTCCTCACCTGTCTCAGTTTATTTATTTCAGCAATGAGATGCGCGTTTTCTTGCTCCAGCTGCTTGGTTCTGGATAGATACTGGGTAAGTCTGCTGTTGAGCTCCTGCAGCTGGTGCTTCTCGCTCTCAAAAGTTCTCTTGAAAGGGAGCATTGTGGTAACTAATTATCTCTGTTAAGTTAGATGGAGAAAAATGTCCGGTGATTTTATTTATTATTTAGGAGACGGATTCACCCGGCATCAATTTGCGTCTGCGTCCGTGGGCGCGACTGTGATGTAATTTGTGATCGGTGGCCTTTGACAAGTGCAGGAGGAGGAGGAGGGGGGCGGGTCCTTTGCTGCATCATAGGAGCGTCCCGAGCGTGTCCCTCCGTCCCTGTCCGTTGTTATGTTGCGTTTAAGTGCTCTCTGAAATACTAAAATGCTAAACTCACCTCAACAATAAATAAAAGAAAGGACAAGCTAAAAAGAAACGTACACGAGTTAAAAATGATAATAATTGAGGTTTAAACACAGTATATTGGTTTTGGCTACATTAACCTTTTGGCTTTTTCTCCCACATGTAAAAACCAGTCTACATTTAACTGAAGCTATAATATAGCTGCATATTAGAATGTATAAATATATATTAATGTGTGTTACACTTAAAATATATTCCCACTGATGTCGTAACCGTCTAGTTTGCAGATTTGGTCAATTTGCTTTTTCATTTTGCTTTTTTAATTTAATTGAATCTTTTTTTACCCTAATACTTTTTAATTGAGAAGATTTACTCTTTCAATGAAGTGCTTGCTTTTGTTGTTTACTTGCCATAATAGACCGATAGATTCTTCACCCTGCATGGGAAGTTATTGTGTTACAGCACCAGGATAAAGATTTAAAAATAGAACATCCTACAATAAATAAACACAACAAGTTAAAGTAAATGTGCCAGAGGCAGCACATAGTGATGGCCTGATTCTGTGAGAGTGCAAGAGCTGTAAATATATCCAACAGTGATTTAAGATTAAGTTGAAGGTAAGTAAAAGGTAAACTGAGATTGTGCAAGAAAGTAGTTAATATTGATAAATACAATGTACACACAGTGGCGCAGTGGGTAGCTCTGTTTCCTCACAGCAAGAAGGTTTTGTTCATGTTCTCTCCAGATTCCTCCCATAGTCCAAAGACATGCACTTAGTGGGGTTGGTGACTTTTGGTGATTCTAAATTGCCTGCAAGTGTTATTGAGAGTACAAATGCTAGTCTGTCTCGCTGTTTTAAGTTCAATATGATTTGTGGATGGCATAACTTTCCTGAGACACCTGAATGCATCACCCTCACAAGGGCATCACATTTATCAGAGATGAGCGCCCCCAAGCGGACAGTAAACGAATAGCGAAAGCTAAAGAAAATCTATCTACGTTTTAGTATCCTTGCATGAAATCCCTGAACTGTCTGCCGTTACAGGCGCTGCAATCTCGGTTCGGCTATGAATAAAAGCGAAACTGTGGTCGTTACAGGTAAACTGTAAATGTTCGTGTCCTCCATAATCGCACCAGACCGACTTTTATTTTGAATTGGCAAATTCGATTTACTTTTAAGGTTTTGGACCTTTTCGACAGTTCTTGACCAACACCAGCTGGGAAGCCGCCAAGGTAATAACGATCAACGCCACCGGCTGACTGAGTCTGAAAATAACTCATTTGAAAAATGATTGCAGGGGTTAAAACTGATCGGACTGGGGGAGAAGGTTGACGTCCACGTGAGGGAGTTACCAGTGAGTTACTTGAAAACCCAGAAAATTATTGGTGAGCTCTGGCACACGCTTAACCCAAAGGTAAAAATAAAGCGAAATGTGACTTGTAGACTGATCACCTTATTATTTTAAAACTTAATTCTGTCAATAGATTTCCAAAATGTTTATTGTGCTTCTTCCAAATATGAAAAATGAATAATAAAGAAATCCCACCACATAAAAGAAGGTGAATAACTCACTCTTGTGTTTGTGGGCATTTACTTCAGTTTGCTGTACATCTGGGTTTGGCCAGAGGCTCCAGTGTGGTGATTTTGGAGCAAACGGGGAAGAACACTGGCTACAGAGACCGAGATGTCTGCGGCTACTGTCCAGAGACTCGCTGCTGCGTCGAAGGGGGGGCACAGAAGCTGGAGTCAGTCATTAACATGAGGGCAGTCTCAAAGCACTTCAGACAAGCAGGGATGGATGTAGTTTATTCAAGAGATGCTGGCAGGTAGGCAAGTGTTCCAGCACGATCAAGAGTCACTCTTGAATATGAGATAATGGCTGATTTCTTCTTTTTAGGTACCTGTGCGATTTTGCATATTACTGCTCACTGTATCACGGTCAGGGGAGAGCAGCCCTCATCCATGTACCCACATCTGGTACCTTGGCCTCAGCTGACAGACTGGTGCCTCTGCTGCAAGCCCTCATTCAGAAGATCCTGGAACAGCTGGAGGAGCATTCAAAAACAAGAGATCCCCCTTTTGTGTCAATGAGGTAGATCGTGATCCATAGCAGATACCCACTGATTGGCGTGAATGGAAAATTAAATATAGCAGGCATTCGTAGTTCTCATTCATTTATTTATTCAAAATTTCAGCAAAAAAAAAAAAGAGAAAGAAAATACAAGAAATTCTCAGATACATATTCAGAGAAGGTGTTTTAAAAAATACACCATCTCAGCTATAGGTGTGAAAAACTTTGAGGCCTCAGATATAGAGCTTGAAAGAAGACAGTCTAGTGATTTTTCGTTTTGATTATTTCTTTCCCCAATCAAGTAATGAACACACAGATTTTGAAAGCATCATAATAAAGTAATAGTAGTAGTAGACCAAGGCCCCCTCAGAAGGTACAGGAATGCAAATCATTAAAAACAGAGGCGCAGGATGATGATGATGACGATGATGAACCTCAAACTTATTATTGCAGTTTAAATGCACTGATGCATTCTCCATAAACCTGACATTTGCATGAAGAACATTCTGAAGAATTGAAATGTTGACAGACGACTAAACTGTAGTGTATATTTATGCTGTTTAAGCCTAAGGTAACGCAAAAAAAAAAAAAGAAGTATCGCGTGAAGCTGTAAACTATCGTCTTTTTCTAACCATGATTACTCTTCACCGTGACTACCCGTAAATCTACGCAACATCCCTGTCCTATACATGTCCACGAGTTCATTGTAAATGTTGTAAGCTTTGACAGGTTCGTGATCTAATGGTAACTAGTTATTCAACAGCTATTCACCTCAGAACAGATCAGTGTCTACTCTCAGAACTGGAAAGTTGACATATACCATAATACAGCAAAAAAACAAAAACAGAAATGCATAGATATGTTAAGTAACTACCTAAGCTGTTTGCTTGTCAGTGGTGATTTTTAAACCGTTGTGATATTAAACAGCAATCAGACAGTTTTATCTATTTTTTTATTTACCAAGAACTTTAATTGAGCACCCAAATTTCACATTAGAAGTTACCTGGTTGCCTATCTGTGATCCCATTTTCTTTTTTTATTGCTTTTGGGTATTCATATAAATGCAAATTATCTAATGTTCCCAGCCCATCAGCCCTTGCACTGAGTTAACGCTCGCCAAGTAGCCACTGCGAGTTAAAAAGTAGCACTGAGGTTTCTTTTGTTTGTTTTTTTTTAAATGAGACGCTTTGAGATGTAAAAGCTACTTTGCCACCTTTTCACGCTTGTTCTCTCTCTTTTTTTTTCCCTCCTATTTTGTGGTGACAAAATAAGATCTACTGAGGTGACTGAACCAGCAGCATTACTGTAAGTATCAGTTACAACGGGCCAGACAAAAAAAACGGGGGGTGCAGACTTGACTTTTGATAGAGCAAAACAACTCTGAACGGACAGCGAGGGAGTGGCACCGATAACGGCAGTGGAAATGAACGCTGGGGTCAGAATGTCTTGGCATTCAGCAGGTAGACTGGGAAGGAAGGGGAAGGGGGATGATGACATTCACATAACCACGAAGAGTTTATAAGGGTAGAAAATGACACTGTTTTACTGCTCTTGTGATTCCAACGTGGAAATCGTTGATTTAGGGGTTCCTACAGAAGTTAGAAATAAGTAGGAGGCTGCTTTCCCCATCTTATGGAAAGTACACAACTATCTAGTTTTTGTTGTTGTTGTTCTGAAAAAGTGAATGCCATTTGTTTGCTTGGAATAAAGTGAGAGGTGGAGTTGCACCGTATGCTCGCAGCATCACAGGCTGCAGGTCAAATTGTTTTATTGGAGGTGATGAAAAAGTTTCCCTTTTTAAATATTTCCCGTTTTATATCTATATCTATATATATATATGTATGTATATACATTTTTTATTTTAGACTTTTATATAAAAGCATTTTAGAAGAGGAAAAATTAAAAGTTTTAGTCTTTTGAGGATTTGAGGTTGTGACATTTATGTTTGGAGATGGAATGTGTGGTGTTGAGCTCTGGCCTCCTGTCTTATCACGTACTGCACCTGCCTCGGTTAAAATACAGTGTAGATCGACGTCCTCACATAAATACTCATTTACATTTGACACTGAGAGCAAAACTACACCGTACTAACGGCTGCTGTTCAATTTGAGCAAACGCGCGGGCCTTTTTTTTCTAAAAGCTTTAACCCGCTGGGCCAGAAATGACCGGGGTAACTTAACAACACTTCCATTCCATCTCCTGTGTTAGTCCGCTTCGTGAGGTTTATCTAGATCCCTGTGGGGGTTTACAAAAAAAAAACGAGAAAGAGTGAGATGTATTTGTTTTCCATACGCATACATATATTTAAAAAGAGTGAGGTAGATATACTTAAAGGGGAAAAAAAGAAAAGGTTTTAAGTCCCCCAGTTATGACACCAAAGAAAATGCATACAAAAAAATCCAACTTTATACTGAATCATGGGGCATTTATACAGTGATTTAAACTGATATCACGAAAGGAAAAAAAAAGAAGAAGAAATAAATAACATTTCTACAGAAAAATAAAATAAAATAAAAGAAGGGGAAGGGGAATCACCAGGTAACATGAGCAGAAATCCTTCAAAACACTTTCAGTATTCAGCCATTTGTGACATTGAAATGCGTTCCCTTCCCTGGACTTTAACCCATCCTTTATTTGGTTTTAAGAAGCAGTCGTCATGAAGATTAAACAATAAGTCTGAAGAAAGGAAATCAGCAGAGGGAACACTGTGCTAGAGGAGGGAGTAGAAGTGAAACGGTTAAAAGATGGTTGGCATATATTAAGGCAAACGAGACAACCTAATTTAGCCCTATCTATTGGAAAAAAAAC